TAAAAATTAATAAAATTAATATTTTTAAATAAGAAATATAAAATTCACATCTTTTACTTACGCCATTTATCGGTCAAGCTATTTTTTTTGAAAAAAAGTAATTAACAATGCATTAGATTAGGGAAACTACAATACCGCATTTATATCCAAACCTTATCCAAAAAGATAAGGATAACAGACAAAAGAATAAACTAAAAAAGCGAAGCAGAATAAGCCTGACGCATGAGAGGAAAGGAAGTGAAATCACTCAAGCAACCTAAAAGAGGTCGTATCGGTCAAGCTATTGTTTTCAAAAATTCTGGTTCCGATTTTCTCTCATTTTCTTCCTTCTTTCGTGTCGTTGTCCCTAAAATGGGTTCGGTAAGAAATTTGGACCCATAGGAGACGGGGCCAGAGTTATTTTCAGACTTCCAGCATTCATTAACGACCCAATGCGTTGGGCTCATTCCAGAGCCTTCAAATCTTCAATAGTTCTATTGTAATAAAATGTTGGGTTAGGTCCAGTTTTCCCAGCTTCCGAAATTGCAGGCCTACTTCTCTGACGGGGCATTCGGGCAAACCCAATTGTTTCATGCGTTTTATATTATTACCATTACGTATTGAATGTATTCACTGCGGACAGTTTATCTCATTAAGCAATAAAATGACTTAAATCTTTTGCTAGGAGTTTGATTTTTTTTTCATGGACAAGGTTTTAAACAAGAAGCCATCTTTAAAAAACATCCCATCAAGTTTCTCAAAATAATCACCAGTCATTGGGTCTTTTGCTCGCTCAACACGAATATGAAGTTCCCTAGCTTCATTATCTTTTATTTTATTTATTTAACCATAATGAGATGATTTAATGATTAAAAACTTGAGACTTCAAGTTAAAGATCTTAAGTTTAAATTTTGAATTGAGTAGGAAAGAATTTGAAAATAAGATATGACTATTTCTTTTTATATAATTCATCATCAGATGTATAGACAAAAAAGAGTTTGATTTTTTTTTTTAATTTACTTTTTTAGTATTAACCTCTTGATAGTTAATAATTACATTGGATTTTGATTTATCCGAAATTAAATCACATCAAATCCCATAAAAGAGAAGTTCTTGGTCTTTTTTTAAAAAAAAATTATTGTTAGAGTGTTTTTAATTTTTATATATTTTGAAATTAATTTTTTTCCACACAATTTTAAGAGTTAATAAGAGAATTTCCATACATTAACCTTATATATTTTAAAACATTAATTTTTTTAAGTATTCAACTTGAATTTTAAATTTAGTTTACAAAATTGATACTTATTTATTAGTTAATTCAACTTTTAGGTTTATTATGAGTTTAATTATGACTTCTTATATATACTTCCTTTAGGGAAGGTAATTTGAGTAATTGACCATATTATTAATAAAAAGGTATTTTCTCATCTAAATACCCTTAAAATGTCATTATTGACAT